GTAACCCCATGTATATCAGAACAGAACTGTGTCCAAAGGATTTTCAATAACTGACTTTTCAAAAGTTGATCACCAGAACTTTCTTCCAAGGTGCCTTTGGGTAGACTCAAACCTCCAAACTTTTGGTGAGCAGCTAAGGGCTTAACCATCTGTACCACTCAGGGAACTTTCCATGGGCATGTTGTTGGGTTAGTTGCTGTTGAGTTGATTTTGACTTGTGACAACCCCATGCATGATAGAATTATAGAGATAAAAAGCTTGAATGGACTAGAAGCCACCTAGTCTACTGCCCTCCAGCTCCCATCCCAGGCCCTTGCCCCCATTTTATGGATGAGAAAACCCATAGTGTCCTGAGCTTAAACACAAGATCTCAAACCAATAATCCCAAGGCAGAGTTGAGATCACAGTTTTTTGGCTCCTGAGGTGAGGGCCCTGTCCATACTCTTTCTTCATCAGTGATCCTCAAACCTGAACATGCTCCAGAATTTCTGGGAGGGTGTGTTACAACATGGATTACTGGGCTCAACCAACTTTCTGATTCCCTAGGTGGAGGGGGAAACTGTGACTGTGCATTTCTACCAAATTGCCAGGTGTGCTGGTGCTGTTCATCCCTGGACACTTTGAAAAAGACTCTTCTACATTAACATCTATGTCCAGATTTTAGTATTTAGCTGGATAACAGTCATTTATTGGGAAATAGCATTGTGGGAGATTCATAGCATAAGTTAAGTTCTTGGGTTTGCCTCTTACTGGCTTAGTGGTGTCTCTATGCCTCAGATAATAATAAGTACCTTAAATATTTTTGTGAGGATTAGAATAAGTTAAAGTTTGTAAAGCATTTGGAATAGCACCTGGCAGAGTTAGTGCAATGTAACCAGTCCTATTAAAATTGGAAGCAGTAAGAATATCCAAAAAATATAGGAACTAATTAAATAAATGATAGTGGATACAAATGAAAGGCATAATTAAAATGCTTGGCTGCTAACCCAAAGTTCAGCAGTTCAAACCCACTACCTGCTCTACAGGAGAGAGATGTGGCAGTTCGTTTCCATGAAGATTTTTAGCCTTGGGCACCCTATCGGGCAGGAGGTGGTTCTGCTCTGTCTTATAGAGTCACTATGAGTCAGAATCGACTCAAGAGCAGTGGGTGGAGGTACGTATACTGCCATCAGTTATCTAAGACATGCAAATTAAATAAAGACTAATTATTTAATGTCAATAAATAATTAATATATTTATTTTTTATATTCATCACATTGACAAGTGAATGTTAACACTTTGTGTTGGTGAAGTAGCAGTAAAAATAACTTCGAGAGTAATTAATAAAAGCTCTTTAAACAAAACCAACCACGGTGAAGTGGATTCTGATTCATGGTGACCACACGTGTGTCAGAGTAGGGCATGCAAATGATGGACTACAGATCCATTAAACTGGTGGTATAAGTATTCGAAGGTATAGGATAATGGTTAATATTTATGGTATATTATTAAGTGGGAGCTCTGGTGCTATAGTGCCTAAGGCATTTGGCTGCTAACCAGAAGGCTGGCAGTTCAAATACACCAGCCACTTCTTGGAAGAAGACTAGGCAATCTACTTTAGTAGAGATAGTTCCTCAGAAACCCAAGGAGGGATTGCTGTGAGTTGGACCTGACTTGATGGCAGTGAGTTTGGTTTTAGTTTTGGTTATTAAGTGAAAAGAAGTTTGAATTGTTTGATTTTGTTTTGCAAAAAACATAAATGCATGTGTATATGTACTATAAGGAGCTCTGGTGGTGTAGTGGGTAAGGCATTTGGCTGTTAATCAGAAGATCAGCAGATTAAACTCACCAGGTGTTCCTTGGGAGGAAGATGAGGCAATCTGTTTCAACAAAGATTTATAGCCTTGAAAACCCAGTGAGGGTCACTATGAGTTGAAATGGACTCCATGGCAGTGGGTTTGGTTTTTTTGGGTTATATGTATTCAAATGTATGTTCACATATGAAAATGTCTGAATAAATCCATGCTAAAATGTTAACCACGGTTGTCTATGGGTGATGTGACTTAGTATGATGTAGTATTTTTTTTTTCTATCTTTCCTTATCAGTATTTTCTAAATATCTCACATATTACTTGCATAACTAAAAAGGGAAAAGTTAAATATCTGAATGTGAAAATTATATAAAATAGCTGAATGGAAATATAGGGAAATAGTCATATGATATTGTGTAAAAGCAAAGGATATAATCATAAAAATATTGAGGAAAAAATGATAAAACTTCTGTAAGTCCAAAATATTATTTTAAAAGTGCAGACACAAATAGTATTCTTAGAAAAAAAATATTGCAGCACAAATAATAAAATGTTAATAAGCTCAATGTATTAAGAGTACTTAAAAATAAAGTAGAAAAGATGTTGTTGTTGCTATGTGCCATCGAGTTGGACCCAACTCATAGCGACCCCTCCTTGGGTTTCCTAGGCAGTATCACTACGGAAGTAGATTGCCCCATCTTCTTTCCAAGGAGTGGCTGGTGGGTTTGAACTGCCAGCCTTCTGGTTAGCAGTCAAGTGCCTTAGCCACTACACTACCAGAGCTCCTTGTAGAGAAGATAGGTACCCAATATTAAGACAGGTAAGGGATGTAAACCAGCTCTTCACACACAATAATGAAGAAAAAAAAAAGTTAATAAGGTATGTATACTGTCATCAGTTATCCAAGAAATGCAAATTAAATAAATACTTAATTGTTTAATATTAATAAATAATTAGGAGCTTTGATAGCATAGGGGCTAAGGCACTTGACTGCTAACCAGAAGTCTGGTGGTTCATACCCACCAGCCACTCCTCAGAAGGAAGGTTGGGCAATCTACTTCCATAGTGATACTGCCTTGGAAACCAAAAGAGGGGTCGCTATGAGTCGGGTCTGACTTGATGGCAAATAACAACAACAACAATAATTAATTAATTAATGTATTTATTTTTTGTACTCATCAGATTGACAAGTGAATATTAACACTTTGTGTTGGTGAAATACCAGTAAAAATAAGTTCAAGAGTAATTAATAAAAGCTCTTAAAACACAATCAACCATGGTGAAGTAGATTCTGATTCATGGTGACCCCACATGTGTCAGAGCAGAACTGTGCTCCATGGGGTTTTCAATGGCTGATTTTTTGCAAGTAGATTGCCTTTTGGTTAGTGGCCAAGTGGACTGCACCACCTAGGGACTCCAAGAGCACCAACCAATCAAACCAAACTCAGTGCCATTGAGTCGATTCTGACTCACAGTGACCCCCATTGGGTTTCCAAAGCTATACATTTTTATGTAAGCAGACTGCCTTATCTTTCTTCCATGGAGTGGCTGGTGGGTGTGAAACAATGACTCTGGTTAATAGCCAAATGCCTTAATGGCTGCACCACCAGAGAACACTTTAATATCTTTCTATTCAAAATGTGGTCCTTGGACCAGCCATATCTTGTCTGGGATCTTGTTAGCAATGCAGACTCTCAGGCCTAACCCCAGACCTACTGAATTGGAATCTACATTTTAACAAGAGCCCCAGCTATTTCACGTATGCACGTTAATGCTGACAAGTGCAGCTGTAGCACACCGCTTATGGGGAATAGACTGGTAGAAACTGCAGGAGAAGAAGTTGGCAATATGGGATCAAGAATTTTAAAAATATTAATATATTTTTGTTCAAGAATTTCAGTCCTATGTATTTAGTCTAAGGAAATAAACAGATAAATTAATGAACTTATATACAAAGAGGGTCACTGAAATTTTATTTTTAATACCAAAATTTGAAAACAACATCAATGTCCAATAATGGGCTGTTAACTAGGTGGTGGATTGATACGCTGCTATAAAAAATTCAGTTTATCTAACATTAAGATTATGAAAAATGTTCATGATATGCTAAACAAAAAGGCATGCCAGAAATTTATGCACACATAATTATTTTAAAACAGTTATTTTAAAACCAAACTATGTTCATATGCATTTTAATAGGCTAGAATGAAATGTAATTTGTAATGCTATCTGTGAGTAGTAAGTTAATGATTTTTATTGTCTTTAAAAATTGTTTTCTATAAACTACATAGATTTCCAATCATAAATATTATATTACTTTGTTACCAGCTAAAAGTTATTTAAAAAGAATTGTGTCGACTTACACTACCATTAGCACTGAATATGCTATTGCCGCCATAGTCTTGCTAGCATTATTTTAACATTTTCTTTTGGATTTGCTGGTTTGAGAAAGTACAAAATGACAACTCATTATTGTTTTAATTTTGAATTACTTAAAATTAATGAGTTCTACATTTATTTTTAGAATCTCTTCTGGCACTGAATAATTTAAACTGCATTATTAAATAATGCAGCTCATATTCTAAAAGAAAATGAATACGTTTATTCTAAAATAAAATAAAATTAATGCTGAGTTCAATTTGGGCTTGTTTGGGTCAAAGGTTTGTATACACATATTTCCCATGTGCATCACTGTTGTAAGCAATAACCAGTTTTTAGACTGTTCTCTATTATAAACTTCAAACATACACAAAAGTAGAAGAAAATCATAATAAACTCCATATGCCCATCAATCAGTTTCCCACACACTCCCGTTGAGTCATGATTCAGACTCCTAGTGACCCTGTTGGACAGAATAGAACTGG